TGGTTTTGTGAAAGAAATGCCAAATTTGTCAACACCGTCAGATGTCACCACCATAAGATTTTGTGTTCCAATGATATATCAAAATACTTCAATGTGACTTTTGAATAAAAGCTTTATAAACAATAACATACTGTTGTGTTTGTTTTAATACAGTAATTTACTGATTCAATGTATTTGATTGTTAAAATGACTACAAATGCAGGTTTTCGTCACCTCCGTCAGTTGAATATTTTGATAATATTTCATTATGATATTTTATGTTTGTTGTGGAATTGTCGGTCACATGTGAAAGTGTAATCTGTCTGCTAACACCAGAATGTGTTTTGAAATGTTAATAACATCTTGAATGCTGTTAAAGATAAAGTTGAAATTATATTACACAGTCCAAGCTAAAAAAAAGCACATTTTGTTAAAAAATAGAAAAATTGGGAGGTTGTATCAAAGCATAGCTCAGTAGCTTAGTACATCTAAGATACATCAATGTAGTTTCATTTGTCTGAGTACAAGGTTTTATTATTTCAATTTTGCACCCTGTTTTGTCCCACTTCTCGAGAATGACAATTTTGATACACATCAAAATATTGTATCAAAATGTATTTTTGATAAGTGTATAGAAGCAGATATATATATATATAATTAGAAAAATCTTCATTCTCTGTGGGGGAAAAACAAGTCATGGAAAGTTTATATATATATATACATGTATACTTTTACTCCGCAACATCTAGTTAGGTAATATTAGGCGGTTTTTAATTTCAAGATGCAGGGCTGTTATGAATGATGGCGGTCACAATGATTTAAAGTGCCTAATCTCGTTGTCTTATTTGTAGTCCTTCACGAGAGCTGATGAGCCCAGTCGAGGACTTGCATTTACACAAGGTATTGACCACTTGAAAATGTTTGAATGTCATTGCATAGATGACAGAATAGCAATCTAACCGGCATTTATTCTAAAGAAAGGGCATGAATGAACATGCTTTTCGCAGTTAAAGCAGCATTATGTAACTTTTGGTTAATAAACAGAACTGCACACATCCCGCGGAAGAACATTCTAACCGGAGCTACTTCTATAAGTTTATGTCTATGGCGATTCACGCAGGTATGTGTTACTCCGCAGCGGTGACGACCCGACCAGCCTACAATAGTCAAAATATAACTACTTATTATAAGTGTGCCGTGGTGATTCAGAATAAGACAGAAACGCGGTTTGGAAGATGAGTTCATGATGTACTCGCTCATTATATACATTTTGCACATTTTAAACACAGAAAAAGTTACATAGTGCTGCTTTAATGTGATGATCTACACCTGTGGTTGTTCAAGGACATCTGTGCCGACTTGATAACTGACTTTAAATCCACTGTTTAAAAGTTTGAAGTCAGTAAGTGTTATACTTTTAATTCCGCAAGGATGCAGAATCAAAACTGACCGCAAAGACATTTATAAAAGATTTCGGAACACTTTACAATAGTTAGCATGAACCAAGAATGAACAATACTTCTACAGCATTTATTAATCTTAGTTCATGTTAATTTCAACATTTACTAATGCAGTATTAAAAGTTGTGCTCGTTAACATTTAATGCACTGTGAATTAACATGAACTAACAATGAACGGCTGTATTTTTATTAACTAACATTAACAAAGATGAATAGATACTGTAATAAATGTATTGAACCTTATTGTAAAGCGTTACCAAGATTTCTATTTCAAGTGAATGCTGTTCTTTTAACTTTTTATTCATCATAGAATCCTGAAACAACTGTATCACCGTTTACTCAAACAAATTAAGCAGAACAACATTGATAATAAATGTTTCTTGAACATCAAATTAGCATATTAGAATTATTTCTGAATTATCATGTGACACTGAAGACTAGCGTAATGATGCTGAAAATTCAGCTTTGCATCAGGAATAATGACATTTTAAAATATATGAAAATATAAAACACCTATTTTAAATTGTATTAAATTTTCATATTTTTACTGTACTTTTGATCAAACAAAAGATTTGAGCATAAGAGACTTTTTCAAAATCATACCGACCCCAAACTTTTGAAAAGTGTACATTGAATTAAAAAATCGCCAAAACACCAATTGCTTAAACGTCTTTATTTTTTTTAATGAATAGCATGCAATAATTTAAACAACTTACAGAAGCTTTCTCCTCAAAGCACAGATGAATCAGTTCACTTTGTTCTCTCTGTTTTTCTGTGTGTGTGTGTGTTTGACTCAGATGCCTGTACCTAGGCTCTTCCCTTCATTATGAATCAGACTTTAACATCTTTGATTATCACGTGAGTGTTCACGTATTGCACTGCACATTCATAAAGCTCTAGTGTACTGAATGATCACAAAATCCTCTTGATTCATCATTCATATGCAGGAAACTGCTAATGGAAAAGTAAACGCCAAAAAAAACAGTCACTAATGGAGTTAACATGAAATCAAAACTCACCCTATTTAGTTCTTTAATGCAAGTTTCTGGATTTATTCTGCATGATTCCAAGTAAAACATTATTTTGTAATAACTTTCATCAAAATAGAATATCTTGCACAGACTCTTACATTTCTTCTTTAAATTAAAAGTGGGGTAAGCGATTTTTCAAAAACGCTTTAGAAAACTGATTCGGGCCTACTAGAAAAACAAACTTGTAGCCAATTAGCAGTAAGGGACGTCTACTCGTGATGTGGAGGAGAGAGCGTTCAGTGCACAGGACGGACATTAGCAAAGCTGAGCGACAGAAAGATAGAGATGGCGGATAAAAAATGCGGAACAAAATAAGGCTTAAGGCAATAAGGCAAGAAGTAGGACCCGTGTAAATATGGGATCAGCTTTCCAGCGCTGGAGAGAACTCAAGGAGCGGAAGGCCTGCGATCGGATGCCGAGGTCGTTTTGTTTCTTCTCGATAGGTGAGTAACACCGTGTCTGCGCCGCAACAGCTACAGTCTGTCTAGTACACTGGACGCGACAAAGCGACCGTCGAAAATCATTTGAAATTTGTTTCAATACGTCATGAATAGAATGCAGCAGCAGTTTTCTGTCGAGGATTTGTCGTGTCGCGCCACGCCACATCCAGTGTAGACCATAGATATGTATATATATCTATGGTGTAGACAGCATGACTGATTATAATGAGTTTCATAGTATTTTGTCGCGCCACTCACGTCCGGTGTACATACAGTGTAACATTGGTTTTGCTTTGTTTCACAGAACTAATCGTTGCCTGGGTTGCGTACGTATGTGTGGGGCGGAGCTATCAAAATAGGGGCGAGACCCTTTTGGGGTAGGGGCGTGTTAGTTTTGGTGATTTCAAATGTCAACATTGGCTACCAGAAATAGCTTACCCCAACTTTAAGGTCACCAACGTCTCCACCTTTCATATAGAGACACTTTTCACCATTCAATTAGTTCCTGATGGATAAAATTGACTCATAAAACATCACATTGTGGAAGCAAAATGGGTTGCAAATGCCACTTCCTGTAACCCTTGTGGGGTTCTTTGAGCGCTCTGAGAAAAGCCCAACATGAAGGTTACAATCATCTGTTTTATTTCAACAAATAGCAATGAATCATTTCAATAAATTACACATAATGAATCATTCAAGTTAGCATTTGCAGTCCCTCAACTACACACAGGGCCGTTTCTAGGCATAGGCGAGCTAGGCGGTCGCCTAGGGCGCCATCAGCTGAAGGGGCGCCAATGAACGCACGTACTGGCACTTTTAGCAGGGTTGTGATAAAGAGTGGCACGGTCACCTTGAAATATGACTGTCGCCCCCACTGGATCCCCCAACATTATTAAAATTAGCTAATTCACGAGATCAATACATCCTTTATTAGACAGCTTGGTCGAGTTAAATGCATTCTTACGGAGGTGTCGAAATGCTGAATCAATTCATTCACTTCCAACAGCACTTAATGGGAGCAGCGTCATAGAGGGCAGAGCGTCACGTTATTTAAAGGGGAAGTTAACGCGTTAACGAGTAGCAAATGATTAAGTAGCTGGATTGGTTACTTTTATGCCATTGATAAAGCTTTTATATGTAGCTTGGGGTAATAAAGGGGTTTTATAGGTTTGACTGAAATAATAATGTAATAACTGACACTTTAAATCAATGTTTCAAGAAACAACAACAAAAAAATTTAACAAAAAAACAAAGACAAAAAAGTAGCCATTGATAATATCTAAACAATATGTAGTAGTATAGTATATAGTATCCAAATCAAAATGTAATAAAATTAATTTATGTGTAAATTATGTGCAATGTCTTAGCCACTTGGGATTGTTACATAGGGCTATACAGGCATCTAGTGGCAACACAATGATATTACAGATACTAAATTGTGCAAAATGCATTCAGATTTGTGGAACTCAATGCACTGAATCTCCACAAATTATTGTCGTTACTATGACAACCAATTTGAATGTGACAAGCAACTGGTGTCTGAAAAAAAAAAAAAAAAAAATATATATATATATATATATACATACATACATATATACACAATAGGGATTTCACCTAGGGTGTCAATTTAGCTAGAAACGGCCCTGATTACACAAGTGTTTCAATTAGTTCTATCTGTTTGGACCCAGACGTTTATTTTATGTACATTTCGTGGGCCATTTATAGATCTTAAATAGCACTTCATGTGTTTTCAGCCTTTCTGAAGTCAACAGTTGCATCATAGTACGACGCTCGCCGTGGCACAGTGGTTGGCCGGTATACCGATGCGACGGTGGCAGGTGAACATTTTGCGCAGCTCTGCACGGAAACGGTCGTGAAGCCACGCGTACAGGAATGGGTTGCAGCAGGACGAGCTCATAGCGCACAGATGACACAGCAGCTGGATCAGCAGAAAATGACGCTTGTTGATGAGGCGGATGTCGATGTCGCGCAGGATGTTGAACACGTGGATGGGCAGCCAGCAGACTCCAAACACCGCCACAACTAGAGACACCAGCCTGAAGATCTTCCGCTTGCGCGCCCGCTGGGCCTCGGCTTGGTCACGTGTTCGGTGTCCAGGGGCCACGCAGTTGCGGAGTTTAACAGAGATGCAGAGGTAAGAGACGCAGACTGCAGATAAAGGCAGGATGTAGGTCAGTAGCAGCGTGCTGTAGGCGTACACTAGTCGCTGGGTCTCCTGGCCCAACCAGAACTCCTCGCAGATTGTCAGACCCTCCTCTCTGAACTCCACATGATACGTGTGGGCCACAGCGGGAGCGACCAGCACACACGACAGCAGCCAGATCCCAGACAGCACGTAAGCGCAGGCCGCCATTGAGATTCGCTTCTTCAAAGGGTGCACTGTAGCATAGTACCTGTTACAACACACAAAGATTTCAGCATTGTTATATATTATATTATTAAATTATTTTTCATTGAAATATATTAGCCCAATATCAAATGAAATAATAATTCATCAAGATATTTTACTACATTATTATTATTTGTTTAATTCTCAAAACTCTCATTAACAGGATAATGTGGAATAAATAATTTCTCATTCATATTAAGATATTTGATTTCTCAACAGAATTAATAGTTATATTTTTACTGTAATAAAAAACGCCGTCATTTTTTTTTTTGAAATATTACCCCCATATCAAATCTAATAATAACGAAAACACATTATATTTTGTATAAAGAAAATTAAGCCTATTTTTGAACTATTACTATTTTTTAGAACTATTCTTATTTTTGTATCATTAAGCTTTTTCCCCTCAAATTCTTATGACTGTAGTTCATCTAGACATTTTACTTTTCGATTGTTTTTTTTGTTTTTTTATCCTATTCTCATTAATAGACTAATGCATAAATAATTAGCATAATTTACTCATTATTTATTTTTAATTAAAATCATTTTAATTTTCAAAAGAATATAGTATTTTACACTACAGTAAAAGTTTTAATTATTTGTTTTGTATTATTTATTTATATATTTTTTATGTAATTATATATATATATAAATTCTTTAGCATTAAGTACTTTTACCTCATTTTACTTTTTAGTTTCAATAATAGAATAATCAAATGCATTAATATTTCTCATTGTTTATATTAAAATCATGTTAATTCTCAATAGAATCAATATAGTTGTATTTTCACTGCACTAAAAAGCAATATAATGGTTTTTTTTACTTATTAAATCAACAAATCAATTCAATACAACACAAAAAAAGAACATTTTATATATTTTTTGTATTATTTTTGACATTACAGCAAAAATGAAATGAATTGTGGTAATAAGAAAATGTGCCTAATTGTCATGGAAAAAAAATCACAATCCAAAAAAGCTAAAATAGGCTTAATTTTTCTACAATAAAATATAATTATTTCTTTCTATATGCGATTTATGGGGTGAAATATAACAGACATGTTCTTAATAGATTTTTTGAGTTAAAGCAATAAAAAAATTGTCAACATAAAATCAAAGCGATTGGAAATATAGTGATAGTGCAGTTTCAAACTGCAGTCTTCACTTCCTAAGCCAAACCTCTAATGATCTCCAAAGACCTTCAACATAAAAAAAGACCAAAACCTTTTCAAAAGAACCATCATTCAGTGCACATCCTTTCATCTCAAGTGATCTGACCCACTTCAACCACACTTAGCTTTGATATCTAATGGTATGAGCCATTAGAGGGTCAGGTGCTTGCACTCACCTGTCGACCGCGATAGCCGTGAGGGTGAAAACAGACACGTATACAGTGACGGGCTGGATCAGGAACACCAGGTAGCACATGAAGCGCCCAAACGTCCACCCGTGAGGGCTGAATGCGTAGGCCAGCGTGAAGGGAACGCAGGTCACGCACATCAGCATGTCCGAGAAGGCCAGATTGCCGATGAAGAAGTTGGTGACGTTGTGCATCTTCCTCGAACGGCAGATGACGTAGATCAGAAGGTAGTTGCCAAAGACGCCCACCAGCAGCACAAGAACATAACAGGGGATGATAAGCGGCTTGAAGGTCTGCAGCAGGGCGACGTCTGCAAAGGGATAGTTGTGAGGGGCCGTGGCGTTTTGGACCACCGTCACCTCGTACACTTGGCTTCCAGGAGGCTCTTCTACACCTTCCAAGCCAGAGCCCTCCATACTTTGATCAAAACTCTCTTGCCTCCCCCTGCTGGACGAAAACACAAAGGTTGATATGTGATTTTCAGATTAACAGTTGGTCAGTGTGGACTTTTCAGTGGTAACTTCTTAAACTTTTACATTTTTTCTCGCTCAGTCTTGAATACGTTGTTACATAACTGCTCAGTTGTGAGTTGAAATGCTTTAATGTACCTGTATGAAAGCAACTTCAGAAAACGAAGATCTTAAAATAGCTCTTTGTTTCACTTTTTCCCAGCATCCAGGCATTTTAAAACACAGCAGTCTTTGCCTGCAGGGATGTATTTTTCCACAGAGCCTGTGTACTTTCACTGTCAAACAAGAATTATGAATGTCAAACCTTAAACGCTGATTAAACTCAAACGTTGTACTCACGTAATTTGTGCAAATACAAAAATAAAATTTTTTATTTACCTTAATGCCACTCATTTGATGATTTGGCATTATATTCATGGGTCTTGCGGAGTTCAATTTTGCAAACATGAAACTTTGCAGTTTCATAAAATGCCCCTCTTTTAAACATTGTATGGTAAGAATGATGAAATGTGTCTATGGAAGTTGCACTATGAAATTTGGGATTCCTTTTTTTATTTACCTTAATGCCACTCATTTGATGATTTGGCATTATATTCATGGGTCTTGCGGAGTTCAATTTTGCAAACATGAAACTTTGCAGTTTCATAAAATGCCCCTCTTTTAAACATTGTATGGTAAGAATTATGAAATGTGTCTATGGAAGTTGCACTATGAAATTTGGGATTCCTCTGTAGAAGCTACTACTGTGTATTTTTGGGTACTGAAATATTCATTTTTAAGTTGATGTACTTTCGCTGTCAGACAAATAAGAACGATAAATGTCAAATCTTAGCAGGTAATCGCTGCATAAATTCAAATGTTGCAATCATGTAATTTGTGCAAATGCAAAAATACATTTTTATTCAATTTAAATGCCAGTCATTTGATGAACTGGCATTATATTCTCTGGTCTTGCTGAGTTCAGTTTTGCAAAGGTGACATTTTGCAGTTTCATAAAATGCCCTCTTTCAAACATCGTATGGAAAGAATGATGAAATGTAGGCTATCTATAAAAGTTACACTATGAAATGTGGGAATCCTCAATAGAAGCTACTGAATTCAATATTTCTGGCTGCTGAAATTAATACATCAAATAATGATGAGTAGTTGACAGTGCAACATGCTAAACTGTTTCAAACAGCATTCTCTTATTAATATTCATTTTCACGCAGGTTTAAAGATCTTTTAATTGAGAGGTATTGTATATATGTATTTAAAAAAAATCATACATTGCGTACATCTGGCGTTCATTAACATCTCTAAAGACTAAACACAAGTTTGTAATGTCATCATATTCATAAGGGCAGCATCTCATCGCATATAATCTGCTAATGGGGACAGTAGATAAAAAGCCCCTTGACAAAGCATAGACCATACGGAATAAAGGTCATGCCTCATCTATATAGTCTGAAAAGGTCCAGACAGGATAATTATGTTCCTTGTGGAGGTGAGTATGCAGTACCATAAATAAACCCATTTATTCTCTAAACCATAAGTGCTACTTAACTCTGGAAGAGCAGAATATTATACTGATAATGGATAATTATTCTCCATTCAGAAATAAAGCTTCCTGTCTTCGGATACATCCTTAGAGCTTCCTAAATGACCTCTCAAAAAAAAAAAAAAGGGTAAGCTGGGACTGAGGCGTGACCCTAAGGTACAAAAGCTAAATGGTACATATTAGTACCTTATTTATCTCCAAATGGTACAAATTAGTACCTTGAAGACCCATGCAAGTAGCCTACTTTAAAAGAACATAGTATCTTACGTGTATATATTTTTTAAAGAGTACCACCCCAGTGTAAGTTTTGTACTTTTTTTCTGAGCATTAAGGAAACTGCTGCGTAAAGGTAAAAAAAAAGAAAAAAAGATTTAGCCTAATCATTATAGATCTCATTAACAGCACACACAAGCTGGCAAATTAAACAGATGCTTAGCTTTCGTCACCCTTGATAGCCTGTTACCTAAATGCAAAAAAATCCGATGTATCGCAAAATTACCAGTACCAGGATATTTAGTTTGGAATATAAAATTATTACATTACCTAAGATAAAGCGATACTCCTGCTTCGGAGAAGTGTGTGAATGCACCTTTTCTCCGGTGCGGTGCGCCGAGTGTTTCCAAACGGCGCGCCGGTGCGTATCTGACGCGCAGCGCTCCGGCTCCGGCTCCGGCTCCGGCTCAGGCTCCGGCAAGCAAACCACAATAATTAGATTATTTAAGAGTTGTGTATATGGCACTTGGGTACAAAATTGACTATTGAAAGATTCTGGTCACTTTCGACACATATTATTTCCCATATGACTCAGTCTGACTCATTTACTGCAATGCGCTTTAGTCAAATATTTTTTTTTTTTTGAAGCTTTTAGGTTTTTATTTTTCGTAAGTTTATACAAAATATTCTCCACTCGACTGTACATCAGCGGGAGACCGAACGTGCTGCAGTAACAAGTGTTTCCCAACGGTCACTGGCTTACTCATGCAAACTGAAGCTCAACTTCTGTCACCCTGAGTCAGTGAAAACCGTTCGAATGGGAGGGGTCTAATTGAGGCTCGAATCCCCTCAACTGAGGTAAAATAAAATATGAATCTATCTATCTGGCTACTCAATAATTAGTCAGAGAACGTTACGCTCGTGAGGAAGTAACGTACCATAGAGCAGTTCGTTCGTTCGCTGTCTGTATTGGACGGTATATCTACAAAATGACTTATTTAAATAAAATAAATACTTGTTTTTTAAAGACGTCTGAATGATAGTTTATGTAACGTAACTTCGTGAAGTAGTGGTGCAAATACCGTTGCGCGAGACGAGCCTCGATCACCCTCAGCTGAGCTCGACCCAAATTAAAGTCAAAATTCGTACATATCTGTCTGTTGTCCATATGAGGAAGTGGCTTTTATCACAAAATGTTCAGCGCTAGTTCAGTTCTTATTACGAATGTTACTTTTCAGCAGAGCCGTTGAAAAAAAACCCGGCTTTAGTAGCTTTCAACGGAGCTGCAGTCGATTAACTTTCTCATGAAGCTGTCTTAACACTGATTGATAGTGATCAATATGGATAGAGTACCGAGGCTAACCTCTTCGTCTACTTTTAGCCTCTGTGAAAAAAGAAAACATCAACGTTTGGAACGACATTAGGGTGAGTAAACTATTTTAATTCGATGGGGGTAAAGTTGAACTATTCCTTTGGGACAGAGAAGCATTAAATAGTAAGCAGTGACACAAGACACCATTAAAATAAAGTAAAATTGGAAAAATGCTAATTTGATACAAGCCCAGAGGTCAGCATAATAAGGCAAACTAATGAGCTTGCATTCATTTTCTGTTACTTGTGGTTGGTTTTAAATGATGAGCTTTCATGGCCTGAGGATCAGAAATCAGCTCTTTTGTGCTGCCAATAACAAGCACCTGTCAGGCAAACACCTGCTTTGATGAATAATAATGAGCTATAAAAACACCGAAACTCATTTACACCACCATTTAGTGGCACACTATTTTCATTTGCTTTGATCACATTTTATTCTTTGCTGTGATTGTTTTTTTGGTCCACTATGTTTTAATGAGTTATCTTAAAGATCTACACAGAGCATCGTCTCTGAACTGAGGTTTCCCACTGGTCCTTTTTAACAGTAAATTTCCCACTGCTGCAGTGCATGCTGGTAATGAAGAGATAAACAAAACAATTGAAAGCGAGCCGCACAGCTCTGACATTCAGAGAAATACTCTTTTGTGCATCTTTGTCTGTGGACATTTCATATATCAGAACTGGAAGGACTTGAGGGGAAAACATAATGTGGCACCAGACGTCATCAGCGAGTGGCATTAGTGCAAGCTGAATTAATATCATATTGGTCTGCACATTATCAGAATATACAAGGGACAAGCTACTGACGCAAGTGAATTTTAAATTAGCACACCATTTACAGCCTCCATCCCATTCAGAACAGATACACATTCTCTAATTTATTTTAGGTTACATAATTAGATTATTTAAGAGTTGTGTATATGGCACTTGGGTACAAAATTGACTATTGAAAGATTCTGGTCACTTTCGACACATATTATTTCCCATATGACTCAGTCTGACTCATTTACTGCAATGCGCTTTAGTCAAATATTTTTTTTTTTTTGAAGCTTTTAGGTTTTTATTTTTCGTAAGTTTATACAAAATATTCTCCACTCGACTGTGATTTGCATATATTTAAAAGGCAGTACATGTACAGCTTCCAAACATATTCCCAGAAGAACAAGCAGATATGTTTCTTTGTGTTTTGTGGAATATGATTCATAGACTGCGAAGTAGAATGCAGAAATCTATTTCCATAATACACATGATTCTTAGCTGCAGTGCTACTGTATGTCAACATTAGACTGAAAGAGGCCTTGTATTTGCATTTGCAGTTTCTGCTTGCACTTCTTTGTATAGCCTTTTTAAAATACACAGAATGGTGTGTTGTTATTATTTTTTGGATGGATGGGTGGACAGTTGGATGGATAGAGAGGCAAAAAGCTGATCACAGAGTCTGAGGGGACTCATGATTATTTCTGCAATTTAAATTCAATATGTGCAGTAAAAATCAATTGACATTTATTACTGTTATTGAGTCAATGTGACTTTGGCCTTTAATTTAGATTTATTTGATCAGGGCTCGATGGCTTCCACATGCTCAAGCCAATTACGGTCCTGCTGTCCAAGAACTGTTTGCCTGGCAATAGCAGATGTGTCTTCTCTGGTTGTTAATGGCTTTTATTTGCTTTGTTATTATGTAGCAGAACATTTTCTTTAGAAGGTGCCAAAGGATGATAAATCATTTTGGATACATAAAACCGTGGCATCAGCTCTGTTGTAAAAAGGTACATTTAAAGCATGCTTTTTATCTCTCCTCCTCGCAAAACATCCATCCATTTAGCTTTTTAGAGACCACAGCTCCCAGATTCTCACTACCTCACAACATAATTCCTTTTCTCATGACGACCATCTCTATTTTCACTCCACTTCATTCTTATATTCCGCCTTTTGCTTTCGTCCCTTCCCTTCTCTGTTTGTAAGATCGTTGTCACAGTTGAGAATCCGATTAAAGGTCTCTAAAAAGCTCAGAAAGCATCTCTGGATGCTGAAATCTTGTTAATGATATTCACTAATCTGCCTTTTGCATGTTGCTATGGGAAAATATCACATTCTAGTATGAGCAGAGAACAAAATGAATGTCCGTATTTCATGCACTCTGAATGCCACGTGGGTTTCATTATGTGTCATGTGCTCAGCTTGCATGGATAGACCATCAAAACAGATTCATTTATTTGTGATTTTTGTACAGAGCATGTGGAGTGTTTTCTCTGTGAAAGCATAATCTGTCATCTTTTATTCACCCTCGTGTAGTTCGAAATTTGACATGAAACAACAACATGAAGGTGAGTAAATGATGCCAGAAATTTGGATTTTTGGATTTGGAAATTTCGTTTTCCCTATGCCTTCAATGGAAGATTTTCCTTCACTGTCAATTTGTCCAAACGAAAATGAGTGTGAATGAAACCTATCACCCTAAAAAGCCCCCTTGCTAACATGTGTTTGTCAAGATCTACAAGGCATGATGTTCTACATCCTGCAAACTATGAACAGCGCTGCACTGGGTGTACATGCATTGATGAACATTTTCAGATGCTGTTTTGTTGAAAAGATATTTTGACCAGTGTTAGACTTTGACATGCTGAAAGAGTTCAGTATGAAGCTCCATTTCTGTTTGCTGTCATTAAACGCAAAGGCTTTCATTCTCATTCATGGTTTCGAAAGGCAAACTGTTCTGAGGTTAGGCTGTTTAAGCCCCTACTCAGCTATTTTAAGCTGTTTTGAAGATGTAAAAAGCATGTAAATGGAGCGGAACATGATGAACTTAACTGTAAGTACTTTTTAAATGCATGTCCCTGGTGTTTTTATGAACAGTTCATCCATGCATGTAATGTCTTCAATCATAATGAGCGGGCTCTCATGTAGAGCCTTATTGTGATTCAATCAATTCTTAATGGATAAAATCAAGTCCTGCCTTCATTTCCCCCTGTTGTATTATATCTTTTTCACTCCGAGAGGTGTCACATTGTAAAAAGAAATAAAAAACAAAAAAGAATAGTTCACCCAAAAAATTAAAATTTGCTTAAAATTTACTCACCCTCAGGCCAATCAAGATGTCGATTTATTTAATTTAGCAGTACATCACTTGCTCACCAATGGATGCAGTGAATGGGTGCCGTCAGAATGAGAGTCCACAAACAGCTGATAAAAACATCACGATAATCCACAAGTAATCCACACAACTCCAGTCCATCAATTAATGTCTTGTAAAGCAAAAACGCTGTATATTTATCCAGTAATTGCTTCTGGCTAAAATACGAGTCTTCTAGCCATCTTGCTGAAAAGTCATTTCGTCTGAAGCAGGAGAGAAATATGAACAAATCAAGCACCGTTTACAAGTGAAAACATCCCAAAACAGTTCTAAACAAATGTGTCGGTGAATTTTGATGTGAGAGGACAACAGGGGATAGACTTTTTCACTGGAGGAAGCATTATTGTGGATTATGGACTCATATTTTGTCCAGAAGTGATGGTCTAAAGTTAAAATGCTTACTGATGGATTTTTCTTAATTACAAACACACAGCTTTTAGTAGCTTCACAAGACATGAATTGATGTGGATTATTGTGATGTTTTTATCAGCTGTTTGGACTCTCATTCTGACGGCACCCATTCAATGCAAAGGATCCATTGGTGAGCAAGTGATGTAGTGCTAAATTTCTCCAAATCTGAAGAAGAAACAGACTCATCTACATCTTGGATGGCCTGAGGGTGAGTAAGCTTTAAGAAAACTTTCATTTTTGGGTAACTATTCCTTTGACACTTTCTCTCTCCCTTCCCCTCTCACATACAATGACAGATTTGCCTCCGATCTGGTATATTTAGATTAAAGATTATGAAAGATTCTTAAGTTGAAAGGTGAAATATTAATGGCATAATCTTTTCCAATTGGCCCTTTCGTTAAATTGCAACCAAGTACTCTCAGAGCACTCTCCCCTGGGTAATATGGGTTCACACTCCAGCCTTCTAATACACTATTTGAGAGCTAGGATGGAGTCTAGAATATCTGCAGTCCATTAAAGCTACTGTAATTGTAGATAAAAACATAGCTTTTCCCTTTAAGCACTATCAGG